AAACGTTCCGCCATCAGCCACTAGACACAAACGTTTGAGGTGGTGGGACCGAGAGGCGTGGTGTGTCAAGGTAAGAATGAAGTGACCTTTATTAATAATGAAGCCCTGTCGTCACCAGGTGTAGTGTGGCGCCCCCTCCCCCTCTTTACTCTCCCCCAGGTGATCTGACTCTCACACACACTCACTCACTCACTCTCACTCACACACTCACTCACTCTCACACACTCACTTACTCATTCACTCACACATCACATCAGAATGGAGGTATGACGACAGATGATTAACATGAAGTCACAGGATTAACATGAAGTCATATCAAGGAGCTAATGGGAAAACACTCTCAGTTCAGTATTGACATCAGGGGGGGGGGAAGAGATGACGTCATTGGGCAGGAGAAAGGGGTGGGGTAGGGGGGCTGGAGAGGAGGGGAGGGGGCCAGGAGAGAGGGGGGAGGGGGGTCCATACGGTAGGGCAAAGGAGGTCAATGGCCTTGCTTGACCTCCTTAACTGTTAACATTTATCTAGAACAAATGACATGATCTCATGGGTAATGTACACACACACACACACACACACACAAACACACACACGTACACGTCACCTCGAAAGTGGCACAGGTTCGACTCCACGCGGCATGGCACTCCTTAACACAGGGTGCAAGTTCTTCCCTTCACTATGGCACCGATAACGACCCTTGTGGCCTAAGAGAGAGGTGACATACACACACACACACACACGCAGGCACTGTGGGAGGAGCGGTGTTGTGGGAGCGGCACCAGGAACGGTCTAAGCCCTCCCGCCCTACACGAGGCACTGAGAGGCGGAGCTACCAGACACCCGCCTTACCCTCCCTCCTTCCCTCCCTCCCTCAAAGACTCAACGTTTTCACCGGTACGCGCAGACTTCCTCTCCACCCACCTGGTCCACCTCCTACCCACTTAGTCCACCCACCTAGTCTACCTCCCCTCCACCCACCTAGTCCACCTACCTAGTCCACTTCCCCTCCACCCACCTGGTCCACCTCCTTCTACCCACCTGGTCCACCCACCTAGTCCACCTCCCCTCCACCCACCTAATTGAATTAAAGAATAATAATTAACAATACTTGAGGCAGACGTAACCACCTTTGGCTGTCAGGTGAATAGGTGCCTTACCTGCCCAGGTTAACACAGGTTCGAAGAGTGATATTGAACGTATCTAGTTAAGGTAGAGTCTCAGTGTTAATTCTGTCTCCTAACTGGTGGTGCTAAGTGAAGGTATCTAGTTAAGGTAGAGTCTCAGTGTTAATTTGGTCTCCTAACTGGTGGTGCTAAGTGAAGGTATCTAGTTAAGGTAGAGTCTCAGTGTTAATTTTGTCTCCTAACTGGTGGTGCTAAGTGAAGGTATCTAGTTAAGGTAGAGTCTCAGTGTTAATTTGGTCTCCTAACTGGTGGTGCTAAGTGAAGGTATCTAGTTAAGGTAGAGTCTTAGTGTTAATTTAGTCTCCTAACTGGTGGTGCTAAGTGAACGTATCTAGTTAAGGTAGAGTCTCAGTGTTAATTTGGTCTCCTAACTGGTGGTGCTAAGTGAAGGTATCTAGTTAAGGTAGAGTCTCAGTGTTAATTTGGTCTCCTAACTGGTGGTGCTAAGTGAACGTATCTAGTTAAGGTAGAGTCTCAGTGTTAATTTTGTCTCCTAACTGGTGGTGCTAAGTGAACGTATCTAGTTAAGGTAGAGTCTCAGTGTTAATTTGGTCTCCTAACTGGTGGTGCTAAGTGAAGGTATCTAGTTAAGGTAGAGTCTCAGTGTTAATTTTGTCTCCTAACTGGTGGTGCTAAGTGAACGTATCTAGTTAAGGTAGAGTCTCAGTGTTAATTTGGTCTCCTAACTGGTGGTGCTAAGTGAACGTATCTAGTTAAGGTAGAGTCTCAGTGTTAATTTTGCGTCAGTTTGGAGAATAATTTTAACATTTTATCGTAAGTCAATCAATTCCTCCTTTCTACCGTAACTTACGAGGATTATTGACCTCTACGACCTATTGTGAATTTAGATCGTAAGGTTTAGTTAATTGCTTCCGCCTTCCCTTGCCTTCCTTCTCCCAGGTGGAAACTTCCGTGTGTACACGTGTTGTTGTGATAGGTCAAAGGTCAAGGTTGTGTGTATGGAGGGTATGTGTGTGTGTGCGTGTGTGTGTGTGTGTGTGTGTGTGTGTGTATGGAGGGTGTGTGTGTGTGTGCGTGTGTGTGTGTGTCTTGTGAGTATATGTGTGTGTGTATGGGGTAGATGTATGTGTGTCTGTGTGTGTGTGGCAGGTGCGTGTGTGTGTGTGTGTGTGTGTGTGTCTGGTATGTGTGTGTGTATGGGGTAGATGTATGTGTGTCTGTGTGTGTGTGTGGCAGGTGCGTGTGTGTGTGTGTGTATATATGTGTGTGTATGGGGTAGATGTATGTGTGTCTGTGTGTGTGTGTGTTTGTGTGTGTGTATAGAGTGTTTGTATGTGTATGTATGAGAAAATATATATGTGAGTCATCTCTGTCTAGGCAGCCATAACGGGTCAAGAGACTAACACACAAACCCTACCACAGAACCAATCATTACCTGTGGATCACCTGATGATTAACCACCCTAACGTGACCTGGAGATGGGGGTTAGGTTAGGTTAGGCTGAAAGAGACAGAAGGACGGATATATAAACAGACACACTAACTCACAGACTGATTGACAAAGAGAGAGAGAAGATAAGAGAGAGATAATGATATATAAGACAGGCGCGTAGGTGGTGGTGTCGGCAGTGACGTCAGAGCCGATACATTTTACCACCTACACACCACACACACACACACACACACACACACCTACACAAACACACACACACACACACACACACACACACACACACACACACCTACACAACACACACACACACACACACACACACACACACACACACACACACACACCTACACAAACACACACACACACACACACACACACCTACACAAAGACAAACACACACACACATGCACACACACACACACACAAACACACACACACACACACACACACACACACACCTACACACACACACACACACACACACACACACACACACACACACACACACACACACACACACACTGCAAGTAGCGAGTGACTATGTTTTTATACGCCTGAGTCTCCTGAGCTGCTGGTATTTCTTACTCAGAACCTAACCTAACATAACCTAACCTGACCTAACCTAACATAACCCGGGACCTGACCTAACATAACCTGACCTGACCTAATATAACCTGACCTAACATGACCTGACCTAACCTAACATAACCTGACCTGACCTAACATAAACCTGACCTGACCTAACATAAATCTGACCTGACCCAACATAACCTGACCTAACATGACCTAACCTGGATCTAACCTAACATAACCTGATTCCGACCTAACATAACCTGACCTAACATGACCTGACCTAAACATAACCTGACTTGACCTGGACTCCAACCTAACATAACCTGACCTGACCCAACATAACATGACCTAACCTGACCTGGGATCTCCAACCTAACATAACCTGACCTGACCTAACATAACATGACCTAACCTGACCTGACCTAATCCCAACATGACTTGACCCGACCTAATCCCAATCCTGACCTAATCCCAACCAAGATAGTTTAATCGTCTGAACACCTGAGGGTCCTAGTGCATGCAGGTGTACTATGGCAGGGGTGTAGGGAGGCAGGGGTGTATTTATACAGGGGTGTATTTATACAGGGTGTAGTATACAGGTGTACTATACATGGGTGTAGTATACAGGGGTGTACTTACAGGTGTAGTATACAGGGTGTACTATACAGGGGTGTAGTATAGGGTGTAGTATACAGGGGTACTATACAGGGTGTAGTATACAGGGCAGTAGTATACAGGGTTAATATACAGGGGTGTAGTATACAGGGGTGTATTATGACAGGGGTGTATATGTTGGTGTGTAGTATACAGGGGTGTATACAGGGGTGTAGTATAAGCAGGGGTGTATTATACAGGGGTGTAGTATATAGGGTGTAGTATACAGGGGTATTTACAGGTGTACTATACAGGGGTGTACTGGCATAGGGGTGTACTATACAGGGTGTAGGCAGGTAGTACTATACAGGTGTAGTATACAGGGGTGTAGTATATAATAGGTGTACTATACAGGGGTGTAGTATACAGGGGTGTATACAGGGGTGTAGTATACAGGTGTACTATACAGGGGTGTAGTATACAGGGGTGTAGTATACAGGGGTGTACTATACAGGGGTGTAGTATACAGGGGTGTAGTATACAGGGGTGTAGTATACAGGGGTGTAGTATACAGGGGTGTAGTATACAGGGGTGTAGTATACAGGGTGTAGCCAGTATGAGTGTTGTAGTGGTGAGTCTTAAAGCTGACCTCCGCCACATTGCCTGCTGCTCTTGGGCTGACTCTCCTGTCATGGCACTCTGGCACCCCTGCTGACACTGCCTGGCACTATCTGACACTCATGAATCCTGACACACCCTGTTACTCCCTGACACTCAAGAATCCTTACACTTCCTGACACTCCCCGACACTAACTGACACTCCCTGACACACCCTGGCGCCCTCTGACACCCCCTGACACTCCCTGACACATCCTGACACTCCCTGATACATCCTGACACACCCTGACACTCCCTGATACTCCCTGACACACCCTGACACACCCTGACACTCCCTGATACTCCCTGACACAACCTGACACCATGGAAATATTAGGTTAATTGCTTATCTGTGAGAGAAGTATATATCTGACTTAATTAGCAGAGAGTGTTTGTCTGTCGTGTTTGTGTGTGTTTGTTTTCCTTGTTTGTGTGTGTTTGCCTTCCTTGTTTGTGTGTGTCCTCCCAGCACCTGCCAATGACACCTTTATATTTATCAGTATTTTCATTTTTTTTTAGCTTACTCTGGTATGGTCGTTGTAGGTGTGGTAAGGGTGTGGTAGTTGTAGGTAATAATAATAATAATAATTAATAGTTTATTGAAAGAGCGTGACAGCCAAAAGACTCAAAATATACAGTTACCAATAATATACAAGTAACATAAGTGATACAATGATATATAATTACTAGGTGGGGAGAAGGTCATACTACAGGGCATTTCAACAGAGTAACAGTGCAAAAAGATACGATTGGGTGATTACGAGTTGTTGATAATGTTTACAGTGGTTAGGACTGGGTTGTTCTTGTAGCGATCATCGTGCTCGTATGGGCTGGATGCAAACGAGGGATCTCAGGTGGAAGCAGGAGACGGTGATGAGGATGGTACAGGCATAAAATTGTGATAGATGTAGTCTATGGTTAAGAACGTAGTAGTGTGATTAAAACAGTCTCAACCACACTACCCAAACCACTCTTCAACACTCTTTAAACTGTAACTGGAGATGTGGTTAGGGTGTGTTGTTTTGGTTGGACAGTCACAACACTCGGGGAATGGCTCACAGCTGCTGGTCGTACAACACGGCTGGACTCTGGGGTCCAGTGTGGTCGTCCGAGGAACCATCCAAGTCATTTGTTTCATGTGTTCATCCCTCCAACTTGTTAACATCTTCAACACGGGTCTGTGAAAGGTATGTTAGTGTGAGTTAACATTGGGATAGTGGTATTGAAGTTAACATAGGGTTGATAATATTGACCACCTACATATAACGCACTTCTCTCCCCATGTAACCCGTTAAATGGAGGTTTTCTGTAATTTACTGCGAGCTCACCCATACTGAGAGTGGCTGGAGAGGTCGTACCGCTCCCCAGGGTCGTGGTGGAGGTTGTATAGGAGAGGTGGGTCGTGCTTCGTCAGGAGGCTTTTGGCCGGACACATGGGGTCGTAGTTAGTAGCGTCGGACAGATCTGGCGAGAGACAGACACAGGTGTTATGTTGGTTATCTGACAAGACACACAGGGGGCTTTGAGGGGGTTGAGGGGAGGGTTAAGGGGGGCGTTTCAGGGGGGACTAGGGGGTGTTGATGGGGGCTAGAGGGCGTTTCAGGGGGGACTAGGGTATCATATATCATGCTTTGACATTTTTATTTATTTATTATGGGAAGGATCACCTGAGCCTCACCTGACCCTCACCTGAGCCTTTAGTATAGTAATGAGCCTTAAAGGTGCCATTGGTGACAGCGAAGGGGCCAAGTGCCTGTGTGGGTGCCGCCGGGTACACCGCGAACAACTGACGTGGGCTCTGGAGAGATGGATAATAATATTGTATTATGTCATCGTTTAAGCATTCAATACATCCACTTGTATCCACCTGAATCCATTTATACCCACCTTAGCCACTGGGTCGAGGAGGAGGGGGGAGATATCCACACCATCGAGGGTGAGGTGGGAGGTGGTGATGTTGGTGATGGCTGCTAGTGTTGGCAGGATGTCCAGGGTCGAAGCGAGTCCTGACGTCTTACCTGGCGATACAGTTACAGGTGAAAATACAGGTGTGCAAATACAGTTACAGGTGAAATTACAGATGTGCAAATACAGTTACAGGTGTGCAAATACAGTTACAGGTGAAATTACAGGTGTGCAAATACAGTTACAGGTGAAATTACAGGTGTGCAAGTACAGTTGTGCTAATACAGGTACAATAGATACAAGTAAATTCACTGGTCTAGAACACACACACACACACACACACACACACACACACACACACACACACACACACGAGGCACTGACCAGGGGTGATGTGTGACTGCCAATGGACAAAGGTTGGCACTCTGACGCCGCCCTCCCACGTACTGCCTTTACCACACCGCAGAGGGCCAGCACTGCCACCTCGCTCATGGCGGGTCATACTGGGTCTGTGAGGAGAGGTTTTATACACACTAAGTATACACACTGAGTATACACATTAAGTATACATACGTCACTTTACATACTATCTTGTCTTGAGGATAGTTCGGTCATGAAGATAGTACAGGGTGATACTTGTGGGGATAGTAGTCGTAAGAATAGTATATCCACACGTAAGGAATAGTAAAATTACAAACATACTCCCAGTGGATAGTACAGATGGATAGTACAAGTGGATAGAACAAGTGGATAGAACAAGTGGATAGAACAAATGGATAGTACCCGTTATCAGAGGTGAACCAGACTAATGTGGATGGCAGTAACTGGAGCGTCCTTAAGTACCCCATAAGCTGTCCTATCGCCCCATCCAACTCTTGAAGGGCGTCCCCAAAACGCCCACGTTCACTACGCCCATGATATTTACTTGATGCGAATTGTGGGTGGTGGACCTGTGGGCGTGATGGATAATGGGGTTAGGTTGGGTTTGGTTAGGTTAGGTTGGGTTGGGTTTGGTTAGGATTGGTTGGGTTTGGTTAGGTTAGGTTATACTCACGTGGTGGAAGGGCAGGTAGAGGAAGAACGGTTGCTTGGTGGATGAAGCCTTGTGGATGAAGGCCAGGGCGTGATCCACTAGGCGCTGGTGGAGGGAGGGTAAATCCACCGGCTGTTCCACTATTGTTGTGTTCCTGTGGAGGGAGTCTTGTTGGATGGAGGGAGTCAATGAATCAATTTAGTGTCTTACCTGAAGCAGTGAATCAATTAAGTAACTTACCTAAAGCAGTGAATCAATTAACTCACCTGAACAATGGGCAGGAAACGTCCCAGTGCCAACACGTGTCGTAACAAGGCTGGCGACCTGGGAAGCACTGAAGACATGGGCACATATCGTGGGAGTATGGAACCCCCACATACTGCTCAAACCCATAATGTGTGGGCAGGTACTCTCCCCCGGCGCCCACACCCAGGTGCCACTTACCCACGATCATGGTACGGTAACCCTGCCCAGGAAAGTAACGTTAAGTTTACCTGGAGATTAATCACCCTAACCTAACCAAACCTGCCTAAGTAGCAATAAGGAGTCGAATCAACAGGTGTAATGAACTAAGATAGCCTAATTAATCTTCAGGTGATGCTATATGTGTTTACCTGGAGATCTCAAGACTATCGTTATCTTCTTATCACTCTTGTCAAAGGTTCAAAAGCTCGTTATCATCTCCCGAAGTTATCAAGGGATTGTGTTCACCTGATGAGGATGGGTGAGACTCGGATAGATTTTTGTCTATAAACTTGTTGGGTGACGTGAAGATTAGCCCCCCACCCCCCCCAGCTTATTTTACCAGAAGATTAGCCCCCAGCTTATTTTACCAGAAGATTAGCCCCCAGCTTATTTTCCTGATTAGCCCTCCCAGCAGAGCCGTCCCTAGAGCTTATTGCACCTACACATTAGCCCTTTAGCTTATGTGGGATGGGACTGAGGTGAACAGAAGCTGAACATAAGATGAACATAACAGGAAATGAACAGGAGAACATAGAAATAACGTGAATGAACTTTAAGAAGAACATCAAAAGAACGTGAAATGAGCATAAAGAACAAAAAAACTCAACAGGAAGTAAACATAGACATCCTGAACAGAACACAAGATGAACAACACCTGATCTTTGAGGAGGGAAGCAATGGTGGTTTCATTAAGAGGTAACCCGAGTGTATTGTCAGGTGTGAAGACTCCAGGGTACACGCCACTGCGCACCTGTACTCGACCAGTTAGTAGCGACGACCTGTAGACCAAGAAAAAATAGGAGTTAAGATGAAGGGAGAGGAAGAGGAGGGGAGGGGATGGTCAAGGAATAGGAGGAGGAAGAGAAGGGAAAAAATCACACTGCAGAATTTAAAACAGATTATATGTGATAATTTTTACTCATAAATGAAACTTAAGTGAACGAATCTCAATGAAAAAAAATTGGTTATATTTGTAAACTTTCGTATAATTTAGCTTAAGTCAATTAGTTATGTTATTCTTATTCTTTTAACCACAGGAGCATTTGAGATTGTGTTGAAGAAATATGACACAATGGGTGAAGGATTTTGACAACACTATAGAGACAACAGGAGTCACAGTGTTCATTCTGGAATTCATCGATCACCTCGAGTACAGATAGTTTATTGAGTGACTGTACGAGCTCTTGAATGTACTTACTTACTTGTACAAACTCTTGAGTGTATGTAAAGAGCTTGATCTACCCTAGTCTTAAGAGCTCACACTTGATGCAAACACTTATACTCACCCTCGAGAAGACCCAAAGATCCACCTTGAAGGAGTAACACTTGATGCAAACACTTATACACACCCTCCAGAAGACCCAAAGACCCACCTTGAAGGACTACAGACGGGACTGGTTACGTAGAACTGCGAGAAGAATCTACTGTTGGCCGCGAGTCTATCGATGTGCGGGGTCCTGGTGATATAGCCATAGGTAAAGTCTTCAACATGAGTAAAAAATGGATCACCTGAAAATTAACCTCCCCAGCTTATTTCACCTAAATTAATCCCCCCTAAGATTTAAACTAACCTAACTTAACTTAGTTTATAGGTATGTTAGGTTAGTTTAAGTTAGATGTAAGTTAACTAAGATTAGATTAAATTAAGTGTAGGTTAACTTAGATTTGATTAAATTAGATGTAGGTTAAGTTAGGTTATGAAGATAGCAGGTCCAGGAGCAATGCATCTTACCTGGAGGTGGGATGACCCGAGTAGGACAGGTCACCGTAACCCAGGTCATCTGCTAGAAGGATGATGATATTTGGTCGTGTCTTGTTGACCTTCAGTGACTGTTTACACTCACAAGCATCCCTCTCAATATCCTCTCCCCACTCACCTGTATTCACTCTCTCCCTCTCTTCAGCCTCTCCCCTTCCATCATCATCCATTCTCTCCCTCTCACCTGCCTCTCTCCTTCCATCATCATCCGTTCTTTCCCTCTCAATATCTTCTCCCCACTCACCAATATTCACTCCCATCCCTCTCTCATCTGGTATTCTCACCACCTCACCACTTACTAACATCACCAGTGAACAGACAAAAACAGTCCTCATTATCATCTTTATAAAACTCGTAAATAAACTTGGTAAAGAGTTAAACTAATAATTCGACTAGTATTGATAGTGGCTAGTATAAGAAACTACAAAATCACTCTGTAGTTTATAGAAGCGTTGGCTAGTTGTACACATTAGTTATAGTTTGTGATGATGCACTGGCTAGTATATAATGCCACGTTGGCTAGTTGTACACATTGGCTATAGTGTAAATTTGTGATGATGCACTGGCTTATTTATAATGCTGCAGTGGCTAGTTTGTAATGATACACTGGCTAGTCAGCTATTCACTATCACGGTAACTGAAGGAGATTGTGGGTGAGTGAGTTAACTTGGTGGTCAATATCACAGTATTTAGATAAGAGAGACTATTGAACCCTCTTATGGGGAGTAATCAGTGTATGTTTGTGTATATGTGTGTGTGTGTGTATATGTGTGTGTGTATATATGTATGTGTGTGTGTGTGTGTATTCAGTAAGAGGATCACCCCATTTGTGTTCACTAATTAAGAGTCGTCAGATATTTTTCAGCCATATTTGGATTTCTTTTGCCATCACTCAGAGACAGACAGAGAGCCGTGCCACTATAATGAGGAGGTTTTAATAATATTTTGAAGGAGTTATGGTAATTACACACACACACACTTTTGGAGAGATAAGATGTTAAGTGGAGTTTTAGCAAGCAAATTTGACCCTCACAATGTAATAACTTCAACCCAGGTATTTTTTATATTAATTACAGTACAGGTATATGATATAAGGTACTATACAGGTAACACAGGTTTTAATATGCTCTTACCATTAATGTTTATAGCATGAGTGTGAAATAGATGAGTTTGTGCTTGCAAGTGTTTTTGTTTTCTGTTTTTGTAGTCATTCGAGGCGTTTTGTAACGAGTGTTGGGTTTTGTCTTCGGGTTTCAATGTTTTTGTTGACGTGTATTTAATTTTTGATCAATAACATTTACACAGGTTAGGTAATGATGAGTGTACGGGTCACACACACACACACACCACAGTATAATTAAAGGCCAAATTAAAACACTTTTGCAAAATAAATTCATTTATTGTTAGATTTGTACATTTTTCTTTAAACTCTACCTTCCTTTACAAAATCCAATTAAAGTAAAAATAACCAGAAATACACTGGACACGACTTGTGGCTCAGTATTAAGTACCAGTATATTGTCTACCTGGTGACTGCCTCGCCAGGGGGGGGTTACCAATGGCTTCACCTCCCCCTCCATTCTTCCTGATACTGTAATATTATTAAACTGGACTAATGTTCATCAGTTAGCCTCCTTATAAATCATCACTTTATAAATACACAAAGTAAAACTGAACTTTACATCACTGAATTATATACAGGTTGACACTCCCTTATCCAAACTCCTTGGGGCCAAAGGAATTTCGGATTTTTTAAGGTTTTCAGAATGTTTTTTTTTTGTGTGTGTATTAGCCCACCCGGGCATAGATCACTGACCCACATCAGGGCCTGGGGGATATAATAAAAATTATAATAATAATAATAATAATAATTCATAGGTCTAGGTCGTGTTTCTCACTTTTGATCTTTTTTCATTCTTGTATTTCTTTATTATTATTTTATTATTACAGTACAGTACTGTATTATTGTTATTTTTATTATTTTTATTATTATGTATTATTATTATTATTATTATTAATGTTAATGTTATCATATTATTTTATTTTGGTGTAATTTTTATTAAAATTTTTATTTACAATGAATAATTATTATTATTATAATTATTATTACTATTATATTTTCGCCCCCAGGCCCTGGTGTGGGTCAGTGATCTATGCCCGGGTGGGCTAATCCCTGTTTAAAAAAAAAAAAAAATTGCCCCACAAAAAAACCCTTTCGGTTTTAAGAGCTTTTCAGTTTTCGGAATTTCAGATAAAGGGTTGTCAACCTGTATTACACATGATCACAACAAATATTCTAATAAGGTAAATAACTGGAAACAATACAGCAAAAACCACAATCAAAGTATAATGGCGAATCCTTCATCAAGCAAAGCAAAATCATATTTTTTTTTTATATCTCAACAAAATGAATACAAGATAGTGTCACCATACAGGTCTTGTTGTCACCATCACCTGAGAGTTTAACTTATGAGCATCAATATCTCCTTCCAGTACTCTTCTTCACCTGATGCTCATCGCCGGAATCGGTTCAGTCTTAGTTGTCGTAGCTCCTCTATATTAGGTTGTGTAGGGGGCGTTCCAGACCCTCCTGTAATACAATGAAGAGTTAAACAATTTTCTCATGCTAATATTTACTTTATCTTACCTTACCTTCTCATCTGCTAAAAGTGAGAACAAGATGTTAATATTCCTAAATTTATCATATTCAGTTAAAATACCAAGACTATATTGTAAACATTTCAACCTCCCATGATATAATATTACTACAGGTCTCATTTTTACATGTCCATTGAAGATTAGTTCCCCTCCTTCCCCCTTCGACTTTATTTCACCTAATGCTACTTGTGGTGGGGGTTAGATCTGGTCAATCTTCAGGTAAAATAAGCTGGGATGGGTTAGGGTGGTCAATCTTCAGGTAAAAATAAGCTGGGGTAATAATCTTCAAGTGATCAGAGTGGTGAGCATAATATCTGCAGGAAGAACTAAACTTTGTCTTAAACTCTGTCATAGTGATAAACTGCCTCACTTCCTGTAGCCTCTATGTAGACACACTCCTGGTTATCATTTGGTAACTGCACTATTACTTCACTTTCATTCACATTTTCTTGATCTTTGTGACAGATCCTTTGATACAAAAGCTCAAGAGGATAATAATAAGTGACTCAGGTGGACCAGTCTCCTCACCATGAACAGTACACAGTGTTTCTGGCTTCATGTTTAGCTCATATTCAAACCCTCAAGTAACCACCTTTCTTGGCACCTATTAAGCCTTTCCAGCACTAATATACTCTTCATCTTTTCTCTTAATATTATATACCAAATCAAGTTTCTTTCATCAGCTAAATATTATACTAGATACTGTACTGAATTCATGTTTGGAAAGCAGACAAGTCTCCTTAATGTACTGTACTCTAGAAGGTTACTATATTTATGCTGTATTAATTTCTTTACAAAAAAATATTAAACAATTCTTTTCCATCAAGATACAAAATGAAAAAAATATAAAATCATGTACACTTTTGCTCAGAGTAAGAAAAAAAGTACAGCATAAGTGACATAAAATGAGTGAGTGAATTGAAGGTAAAGGAGGTGGTGTCAGGGAGGTGTATAGGATCTGTCATGGTGTTAGGGATGTGTATAGGATCTGTTACGGTCGTCTCAGAGAAGCTCCTTGGATCGGTCACGCTTACCATAGTCGTACAGCTGGTTGGACTGCGAGACCTGTTCACTCTGGTACTGGGATCCGTCGTTGATATTCCATCCGTATGATTGTTGTGGCATTCCTGGCAGATGACACATGAAGCTCCATAATACATAGGACAGATACATATTATTCACAAACAACTGCTGTATCTCATAGCACACTGAGGAAAGACACATACGGAGGGAATAAGGGAGAGGATGATGGAACAATATAAGGAGGGTGGGAACAAGGGAGAGAAAGATGGAATAAGGGAAAGAATGATGGAACAATTTAAGGAGGGTGGGAACAAGGGAGAGAAAGATGGAACAATACAAGGAGGGAACAATGTAGGAACACAAATGGGAGGTGAATGAGGGTACAAATACAGGTTGACAATCCCTTATCCGAAATCCTTGGGGTCAGAGGCATTTCGGTTTTCAGAGCTTTTCGGTTTTCGGATAAAGGGTTGTCAACCTGTAGTAGAGCTAAAGGGACGGATACCTACGTGTAAAATCCGACTACAACAGAAATAAACAAAACATCGGCTAGATTTACCATCGTCATGTGATTGGCTGGCTTGTGATACCTCATCACCCGTGCTCCAAACATTCTGTTGATGTGAGTACTGCGCTGGTTCTGTGAGCAGGGGTAGGGGAAGGAAGGGGAGGGGGGGGGGGAAGTGAGAGAAAGGGGATTTATAAATTTAATATAATACTAAATACAAGAGGAACTTCGGTTAGTTCCCATAATGCTTGTGAAATAGTTGTATAATATTGTTCATTTGGTGTAACAGTTGTATAATATTGTTCATTTGGTGAGCAGTTGTACCTTAACACTTCCCTAGGCACCAATGCTTACCTGGGTGAGAGGCAGTGCCAGTTGTGCCATGATGGTAGGTGTACGAGGCTCCAAGCGAGGCGGAAAATCCTGGCACACTCCAATATATAGTGTTGATGAGGTACTTGAGTGGCCCCATAACATAGACAAGTCCCACTAATATACCTGTGGATATATCATTCTTATATAGATTACTGTATATATCTATAAAATAACTGACTAAATCTGTATGTCATAATTACTGAATCAAAGGTAAATGTCTAGTTATTCTTCAACCAGTGGCGACTAAAGCATCCACCCTCCCTCCTCCGCCAGTGTGGACAAAAAAGGAATCTAAGGAACATGAAACCTCCACTTGTGATGGCTGCTGTTTAACACCATCACTACGCAGAGAGGACCCCATACAGTACACAATAGGTTAAGGGTTAAAATGTCAACAGTAGGATGTGAAGAGGCTCGGGATGATGGCGGCCAGAGATTATTAGCCACAGGGACAGCAAGACACCAACTATGGCTAACAGACTAAATAAGGAATATAATTAGAGAAATTAGAGAAATAAAATTCAAGGGAATTATATATCCAACTAACAGGTAAAGGAAGATTTAAACTGGTCACTTCAACACTAAAACTCTCAACTTCACCATCGACAATTTTTCAACCTGGTGACGAGATATTCACCGTATATAAACGAAAAGAGTTCTTGGCTGCTAAAGTAAATAACGAGGAGACACTCACCAGCCAGATGTCCGATGAAAGAGGCTCGGGGGACGAGTATCTGAATGACCACGAGCTCCGCCCACACTGCGTACTTGGCCGGCACGATGATACCATGAACATACCTAGTGTCAGTCCCCTCATAGTGTGTTGTTAATACTTTTAGGGCGAAGAGAACGCCTGGGGAAAAAATGACAAGGAAATGTACGAGTAACTTAACCCGAGATGAGTATACATAGCTTAACCCTGTATACATAACTTAACCTTACTTGGTAATACATAGCTTAACCCGAAATGATTATACACAGCTTAACTCTAGCTGGGAAAAATACCTGTATCTCACCTGAAAATCCAATGGCACACTGCTTCATGTACGAGTAAGATTCAAGCAGTTCAGAAGCCAGCCAGACCAGTCCAACGTAAGTCAAATTTGTCGCAATGGTGAAAACTACGAGAAGAATCAAGAATTTCACCGAGCCGTACCTGAAGTGTAGTTGGGATTACTTCACCAAAGGCAGTAGATAATAGTACAAAGTTAGGAAGAATAGATATAAAAATTAATTTGTAGTTATAATTGTAAAAGTTAAGACAGTTTCACAATGATGAAATTCACTCGTCCATGATTTCACTAGATGCAAAATAATCTATATGAAATAATGACAAACTCAAATTAATGAGTGTAAGATAAAAATGAATATATTGAATGATGTATATGGAAGTTATCTTAGCTGGAAGGAATTGTACAAGAATCAGTAATCAAACACTGACCCAGAGAAGCTTTGGGGGACACCGATGTTTAGTCTCCCATAGTGTTTACCGATGTTAGTGGACATAATGATAAATACTGTGTCTGTGTGTCATATAAAATGTTAAATGAATATGTGAACTACAACATTCAATAAGTAGCTAAGTCCATATAAAAAAAATCATATCTGGGAAAACCAAAAGGTGTGTATCACAATGTAGAGGAGTATTAGCTGATGTGTCACTGTGGAATGAAATAAAGATATATAGTTAGGCCTCACATTGTGCACCATGGCCAGGGGTGAAGTCTGTCAATACCTGCTGTGTTGTTCAGTAACATTTATATTACTGTATGTATTGAGCCAACATACCAAGATAATTCATAGGTTAAATCACACACTATATTTGTGTAAGTATGGTACAGTATTCCTTTCAATATCCGGTATATAAACTTTTCTCAATTATTTTCAGTTTATACAATAATATAAATCTTGTTTTCCAATAAATGTGTCCTTCAAACGTTAATATATAAGGTAATTACAGTGTATAGTATATTTTTTTCCATAAGAGTGATCTTCAATTATATATCAGAAGTCAATAGGAAACTTGCATTAGATTTACTAAACATTGATAAACAAATATTTTCAAGGAATGGGACTTTTTCACTACTGGAAGGATGCCTGGATATCTATGTCACACAAGTATTTACATAATTAAAAGCTCAAAGACAGAAATTGGTGACAAAATGTAACAGAGAACAGCATCCTCACCTCTTCTCCAGTGTACGGCCTTTCAGTATCAGTGAAGCCATGTTGTAGTACAGGTGGAAGTCATCAGCATGTTCAATGGCCGACAGAAAGAGTCTTTTGTAATCGTGATACAGTAGGATGGATTCACCGCTCACACACACGTCGTACCTGTCCCAAGGAGGGTTTACGATCCCCATGAAGAGGAAACACTGCAAGAAAAGCAAATAAGAAAGAAAAGTGTATGACAACCAACAAACATCCAGGCAGTAACTTGAGTTTATATTGTTTCAGTTCATATGTAAGCAATGCAGGTATACAATGTAAGGAAACAATCTACTGTACCACCAAGACTGTATGAATATAGAAACAATGGTAAAGAGTATCCATCAATTTGAACAAGGTATGGTACAGGTAATTACTCTACTGTAGCAAAGCAAATTATCACCTCACCTGACCAATAATGGCAAGTAGGGTAACAGAAGGTATATTGCCCAGGCCAGTGCTGTACAGTTTGTGGAGAAGGAACATGATTCCCAGCCCTATTCCCTGTTGTCTCCGTCGAGGCATCTTCACCTAGCAGCAGTGTAACGTTACTTGTATGGTGATGTCCTTGTGTGGTGATGCCCTTATGTGGTGATATCCTTGTGTGGTGATGTCCTTGTGTGGTGATGCCCTTGTGTGGTGATGCCCTTGTGTGGTGATGCCCTTGTGTGGTGATGCCCTTGTGTGGTGATGTCCTTGTGTGGTGATGCCCTTGTGTGGTGATGCCCTTGTGTGGTGATGCCCTTGTGTGGTGATGCCCTTGTGCGGCGATATCCTTGTGCAGCAGTGACCTCGTGCAGCGATGTCTTGTACAGTAGGCTTGAAATCTCTACAAATAAAAACAGAATCAAAGTATAGATCACACAAGGTTAGCTGTATATTAGTGATATGAGATACCTAACTCTATAATCGAGGCAGTGAAGGTTTTCAATTGTATTTTCTTCTTTTCAGTATTTTACCCCACATTTTCCCTCTACTTCAAGCTCTGCACACTCTGAACGGTTAATATTGGTAATTAGAGGAGGTCCTATTATTTAAAATACTCTTAAAATATAAATTGGCCCAGGAAACACCATAGAAGAAAATAGATTAAAAAAGAATCCTCGTGATAATCATAAAAAAAAACTGAAATACCTATTAGGATAAAACTAATATTAACCGAAGTAGATAATAATATAAGCTAGGGAAGGTTAGGTTAGGTTCTCAAAGCTTTTATTGTTTTTCGGGTTTTTTCTTTGTGTTTTAAACTAGCATTTCTCCTATCCTAAAAGCACGTGCCCAATATGGAAGGCTTCACTGTCTTAACTAGTGTCAAAAGAGATCATATTTGTTAAAATCACAAGAAAACACTATTTGTCATCCAAAAATTGTGTTGGGTATAAAACGAATATTTACCCTTTTTAATTATTTTTTTCAAGAGGTAAGAAAGTATTTATCTTCTATGGTTGTTGATTCTTAAAGGACATTGTTCTAGAATATTCCCAAGGAGGTCAACTATTAGACACATGAAATGGATAAAACTTAGAATTATTTTACTGGAAAAAAAAAATCAGACGAAATGACATACCTCAGATATACACAAAGTAAATCCTTCTTCTACGCTATTTATGAGACTCGTTATGCCAAAATGACACATACATTCAAGTACTGGCATGAGGCAGTGACAGGTCTGGGTGGGACAACACTAAGTGACCTGTATTGGCTGCCACTGACCTGAGTCTTCTGTTTGTTTACATCCTGGCCATGACGTCATCACTCTCACTCTACGGGGTTACAATTAGGGTCATCTAATGTTGTTTGACTTTATTTACTGAGTCATTTACCGTCATACTCAATCACTCACTCTCTCATTTACTCAAATACTCACTGTTCTATTCACTCACTGTTCTATTCACTCACTGTTCTATTCACTCACTGTTCTATTCACTCACTGTTCTATTCACTCACTGTTCTATTCACTCACTGTTCTATTCACTCACTGTTCTATTCACTCACTGTTCTATTCACTCACTGTTCTATTCACTCACTGTTCTATTCACTCACTGTTCTATTCACTCACTGTCATAATCACTCACTGTTCTATTCACTCACTGTCATAATCACTCACCTACCGCCCCATTCACCACCGTTCTATTCACTCACTGTTCTATTCACTCACTGTTCTATTCACTCACTGTCATAATCACTCACTGTTCTATTCACTCACTGTTCTATTCACTCACTGTCATAATCACTCACTGTTCTATTCACTCACTGTTCTATTCACTCACTGTTCTATTCACTCACTGTTCTATTCACTCACTGTCATATTCACTCACTGTTCTATTCACTCACTGTCATAATCACTCACTCATTCACTTTCTTAATCATTCACTCACTCAGGCGTCTCACTCACTTATTCACATACATCTCTCCTTCCTTTCATGTTCACTCACTCACTTAGATACAATCTTTATTTTAATCTATATAAAAAATGCGACAAGCTCAGGAGAGAGAGAGAGAGAGAGAGAGAGAGAGGATTTTACTGAATAATATATATTTATCTTTCTAGCTCTTGATAGGTTAGTTAGATATTTTACCAAGCTAATTTATCTTCCGTGAGCTGGTAGACTTTTCCAGAGATCTATCACCATTACCTCAGCTGATAGACTATCACCATTTGAGCTGACAGAATCTTCCACCATCAATCAACCTCAACGTGAAGAAGTATTTCCTTATTACTGTCCTGTATACCACCTCCCAGCTTGAATAACTCATTAAGATCTGCTCTATTGTGTCTCGTTCTCAGTCTACTTGGATAATTCACACCCCTAGGAATCCTAGGGGTGTGAATGTGATGTCTGTACACTGTATAAAGCGAGTTAATGACGAGATAATATTGTGTCAGGGTCATAAGTAAAGAATAGGTGAATCAAATCAAACAGGAATAGTAAATCAAGTTGAATAATGAAGAATAAGTGAATCAAATCAAACAGGAATAGTAAATCAAGTTGAATAATGAAGAATAAGTGAATCAAATCAAACAGGAATAGTAAATCAAGTTGAATAATGAAGAATAAGTGAATCAAATCAAACAGGAATAGTAAATCAAGCTGAATAATGAAGAATAAGTGAATCAAATCAAACAGGAATAGTAAATCAAGCTGAATAATGAAGAATAAGTGAATCAAATCAAACAGGAATAGTAAATCAAGTTGAATAATGAAGAATAAGTGAATCAAATCAAACAGGAATAGTAAATCAAACTGAATAATGAAGAATAAGTGAATCAAATCAAACAGGAATAGTAAATCAAACAGGAATAGTAAATCAAGTTGAATAATGAAGAATAAGTGAATCAAATCAAACAGGAATAGTAAATCAAACTGAATAATGAAGAATAAGTGAATCAAATCAAACAGGAATAGTAAATCAAGCTGAATAATGAAGAATAAGTGAATCAAATCAAACAGGAATAGTAAATCAAGTTAAATAAGGCGGGTTATGACGTGAGGGAGGGTTGGAGCAGTTGGCACTAGACGGCTCTGGCAGATCATGTGATGGGATCGAAGTGACCAGTCGACCTGTCAACCCCCTTCACCTGGATTTCACACTTAATTAACACAGGTAAGTCAATTAATTACCTAATAAACTAACTAGTAAAGGTGTGTTAATATTTTGTGTAATTTTGAGTATTTGTCTTATATTTGAAGAGGTGTTTGTACTCGTTGGACCCTAGTCAATGAGGGTAGCTATGGGGTTTTAAGTGTTATGGAAAGGTTTAGTCGTAAATGTAGTTTGGATTTTTTATTTTTATTTATTAAAGACCTTTTTTAGTGATGTAGGGTTGTAGTTGTGTTGTATTTTGTGAGTTGTCATTAGTTTTTTTTGTGTACCCTGGGGTCTAATGTGGACCTCAGGATCTGAGTGTTGTTGTGTTTACGTAATATATCGTTGTATGGATGTTTTAATGGTGTATTAATTATTCACGCGTGGTTTTGTTTCGATACGTATGCCGTCGCTGGTTATATGTGTATGTATAAGCGAGGGTTGGTGGGGTTAGGTTATATCTGGTGAAAAGTTCATTACGTTGAGCCAGATTTTTCTTTTAACTGCTCTGATCCAATTTGGTGATAAATGGAGGGTTAGAGGTTATGTTATGTTAGGTTACGTTACGTTAGGATGAGTTACGTTACGTTAGGATGGGTTAGATTAGGATAGGATAGCTTAGTTTAGGATAGGTTAGGTTAGATTAGGATTGGAAATGTTAGGTTAGCTTAACTTAGGATAGGATAGGATAGGTTAGCATTATGGTGTTAGGTCATCGGGGTGAAATAAACGTTAGTTCATAATATTTACACAGTCTACATAATCCCGTAGCCTTACATGCCATTATCCGAAATGTCTAAATCTTGCAGGCCGTCGAAAACACACACACCACACTGTTGTATATGACTCACAGAAGTACGTGAGCATATTTAGGTAATGTGATGCCCTGAAAATGATTGCCGGTAAGAAATTATTTGCTGTAAGGTACTCTGTTGGGGGTCACCTGAAGATTAGCCCCCTTGCCCAGCTGATTTTTACCTGATTAAATACCCTAATGGAACCGGAGGGGGGTGGTAGGGAGATTATTGTTTAGGTGAAGTACTCTGGTTGGCTAATCTTCAGGTGATGGGATATATTTTAAGGTTATGTTATCTTGATTGGCTCAGTGATGCTTTAAAGAATTGAGAGATTATTGTTGCTGCTCCTGATTGAGTGCCATTAGGAAAATACATCATGAGTATTGTATATTACTGTACTTTGGAAGGTGATGTATTGTATAGGTTAAAGATGACTTAATTAATATTGTTTACTTTCTTGCTGTCATGACCTTATCAATTTTTTTTTCCCCACTGTTAGATAAAAGTGGGGTTGATAGCCTTCCCTGACTGATATATTGGTGTGTGTGTGTTGCATTGAAGAACATTGTTTTTGTGGTTAAATAATATATATAATGATGAATTTATAAGTTATTTAATATATATTTACTAATTATTACCCCAGATTACTTAACTTGAAATATAAAGATAAATATATTAGCTGCAGTATATGGTATTTAACTTACCTATGTACAGTCTCTCAAAAAAATTACCTATAAAATATTGTGTTGAAAAAATATGACTCAATGGACTCAGGATTTTGACAACACTACTGAGACAACAGGAGTCACAGTGTTCATTATGCATCTCATCGATCACCCCGAGTACAGATAATTTACTGAGTGACTGTATGAGCTCGTGTAGTTTATATCGGATTTAACAGTAATGAAAATGATCTTGTAATATATAAGTAGAAATAGACAATGATTAAGGCAGTGATAAGAAACAACAAGGTTAAATATGGTTCGTCAAGATTATTTCCTGATAAAGAAATTATTTTGGATGACCAGAGGATTAACCACAGCTTATTTCACCTGAAGATTAGACATCCAAGCTTATTTCACATGAAGATTAGGTGCCCCAGCTTATTTCACCTTGAGATTAACCATCCTATTGGTAACCTAACTTATCAGTAACCTAACCTATCAATAACCTAACCCAACCAAACCAAACTAAATGTAATCAAGCCAAAACTGACCTATTAGTAACCAAATCTAACCTAATCTACTGGTAACCTAACCTAACCAAATCTGTTCTAACCTAACCTATTTCCCCCTTCAGTAGTATTGGGGGTTTTAATCATCAGGTGAACTAAACTGGTAGGGAAGGGACTACAGCACAGAGTAACCCTAATGCCATTCATAAACCGTGTTGGGTTAATAATAATAATAATTAACGGTTTATTGAAAAAGTTCTGCAACCCGAAGGCTGAAAATATACATTGGACATAAATGACTTATTACATACATTGGTAATTACCATACTTATTCACGCTTCTCTTTCAGGATAGTGTAGCGTGCCACGATGGCATCCACCGAGTACTGGCTGATCTCCGCCCCGGGGGACAAGACCTGCCAACAGACATGGGAGAAGCTGAACAATGTCGCGGCGGTCCAGAACCAGCTGAGTGTCAACCACAAGTTTCACCTTCCAGATCTTAAGGTGAGAGTCAGGTATCAGGTACATTTGTGGTCAAAAGTTCGCTTCGTCCCAAAATTAAGCAGTAGCGATTCCAAACTAGAAGCAACAGTTAGTGTGAGTCATTTAGGAGATTCATTCCCTTTACTTAGTTTCACCAAAGGAGCGAACTTTTAATCGTGACTGTACTGTGGCGGTCTAAATATATTTAACATTTGATTTTGTCTTCTCCAACGAGTTGATGGGAAAAAAGGTGAACCCAATTAGACACCGTTCAGAAATGTACAAGAAATCAAAGGAATATATTTTATGTGCGAACTTTCATCCTTTTTTTTTCACGTCATATAATTTTAGACCCGTGTGATTTCGTTGAACGTAGGAATAATTTTATAGATACATCACAATATTGTTAAAGCTGCCATTCATAATATAACATAGAATTTATATTTTTTTTTAGGAGGTAAGAATTTTTTATAGGAATCTGGAAGCATTAATGTCTTTTAATTTTATTTATTATTTTATATTTTTTGAAGGTAATTAAGTCAACTATTTACTTACTTAATTATCACCTGTCCTCTTAGTGTCTTGCTCAGCCATATGTGTAAGTGACCCATCCATGTATTATACCAGTAAAAATCTCCCTTCAGGTTGGCACATTAGATCAGCTGGTCGGCCTGAGTGACGACCTGGCCAAGCTCGACACCTACGTAGAGGCCGTGACCCGTAAGATGGCCAGCTACCTGGGTGAAGTGCTTGAGGATCAACGAGACAAACTACCCGAAAATCTTCTTGCTAATCAAAGTAAGACGTAGAGCGAGAAGTATAATTTTTTTTTTCCCAGTCTCTTGGTAATTCATCTATTTAAAATTTCTTCTTTTTCTTCTACTTCTTCCTCTTAATATTTTCCTTCTTCCTTTTCCTCTTATTCTTATTCTTCCTCTTCCTTTTATTCTTCTTATTCTCTCGTACGTGATTTTGTTGTCCTTGGTAAACCTTGAAGCCTAACTCTACCATCAGGTATACCAACCTTGTGGCATTGCTCATTCCTAACATAACTAATTTTTTTATATCTCACTCTGGTGGATGTTATGGTAAACTTGTAACAAATCGTGTAATATATTTAATGGCGTTATCTTGGCTTCCTCGGTTCATTTACATTAAGCTGTTATTTACTGTTACATTTGAGTCAGTAGATTTGTGTTGTTATAACATTATTTATTCAGTTGGGTTTACAGTATAGCCAATATATTCTTTTGCCATGTGGTTTATTTTTTCACACGTACAGTATAATAAAGTGCCTCTGGATATTATGGATGGGGATTGGCTATACTTTCAGAACAGGCAGAAAATATGCTACTTGAAACTTAAGAGATTTGACTGTAATTTAGAAATTTAAGGTCAGCTGGAAAGGTCAGATGGTGGGATGGATCACCTGAAGATTAAACCCCTTAGCTTATTTCACCTAATGATTAAACACACTAACACTGAGCAGGTTAGGTTAGATTAGTTAATAGAATGTTTATATATAGTAGAAAGTGATGACTAATTTAATTTGTTAATATTTTACCCGACCACAGTGGACCTGGCCACGTACTTGACTAAATTCCAGTGGGAGATGGCCAAGTTCCCCATCAAGCAGTCACTGAGGGGTATTGTAGATGCCATCAACAACCAAGTCACCCAGATTGAACATGACCTCAAATCCAAGTCCTCAAATTACAACAACTTGAAGTCAAACCTGGCCAACATGGAGAGGAAACAGACGTATGTATTACTTGACACTACTGTATTTAAGATATGATTTTGTCTTCTCCAGTATGAGTTAGTGAGGATAAATTAAACCCGATTAGACAACATTCAGAAATTGTACAAGAAATCAAAGGAATATTTTTTATTTGCAAACTTTCAGCTTCTTTTTTTAACGACAGTACGATGGAACTTATAAAATTTAGGTCGATGTGGACTTTGCTCTATCTCAATTTGGGAATATTAAAAGAAACAAACAGAGGTGATGTGTACACTCACTTCAAAAATGTATTCTAGTTATTTTAGTGTGGGACAATATGATACAACGGGTGAAGGATTTTGACAAGCTTACCGAGATACTTTTTGAAGCACGTGTACAGTATAACAGGATGACATACACTGCCAACTTCATTTTAGATAGATAGTAATGAATGCACTACACTGAACTACGCTACACTACAGGTACACTACACTAAACAGAATTACTGAATACTTATCTAAAGTTAATAGGCAAAAGGGAGAAAATAAGTATACAGTCATTGATTTACTTACCGGTACATCCGTATTTCCAAATTTTTTACGTGTAAGGTCCGGAAATCCTCCAAAAAATTTAAGATCTTCCTAAACTTTACAACTCTGAATATATGTAATGTAATCAACCATTCTGTACAGTACTTGTGTTTACTCTCACTTATTCAGAAGCTGTCTACCTTCCTATCACTCTAATTAGTACCATTTTAACACATTGTCTTAGAGTACTGTACATAATTATAGTACAGTATGTATTATTTTTGGTTGTTTTAGAGTACTTGTACATAATTACAGTATAGTATATATTATTTTTTTGGTAATTTACATTGACAAGATGATGTGTAGTGTAGAAATATCAACATCATGATTTATATAGACTTACGTATTTTTAGTATAAATTGAAAAGATGTTATGTCATTTATATAGAGTAATTTAATTGTTGTTTTTGTTTCAGGGGAAGTCTTTTGACACGAAACCTGGGGGAAGTGGTGAAGAAGGAGGACTTTGTTCAAAACAGTGAATACCTGGTTACTCTTCTGGTGGTGGTGCCTAAGTGAGTGTTGTCTACTGTACCTCTCACCATTATCTACCTGTATTGATCCATTATGTAGTAAATATATGTACAGTAGCCTTATGTGTATATCTTTGGTATAGTGTGTGTGGTGTGTGTGTCTTGTATGTGTGCGCATAAAATAACATGTCATTCGTGTTTCAGGATGTACTACCCAGATTGGCAGTCCAAATATGAACATCTGTCGGACATGGTTGTGCCGCGCTCCTCCCGCATGATCTTTGAGGACCACGACCACGGCCTCTTTACTGTCACGCTCTTCTCTAAGGTTGTGGACGAGTACAAGCTCCATGCTCGCGAGAACAAGTGAGTTATGTTACCATTTATCTCCGTCTTATGCTGGTTAGTGGGGGTTAGGTTTGGTAGGTGGGTGGGTGGTGTTTGATTACCTGAAGGAATATACTGTAGGGATTCTTGCCTTGCCAACTGAGAGGCCACTTCCCATTGTTAAAGAGGGTTGGCTATAGGAAAGGCATCCAGCCATAAGACTTGCTTCAAATTTATGTGATGGCAACTGGGGCACTGTGACATTAGATCATGGCCAACTTATCCTAGTTTAGAAAATGACTAAAATGGTGATGATGATGGTGATGCAGGACTCATTTCTTTTATTTTCCAAAAGGTATTGTGTGATGGTGAGGCACAGGAGACACTGAATAAATGATGAGACAAATGTTTACAAGTCCAGTTTAATGAGGAAGCTGTAAATGATCTTGGAAAATAAACACATTATTCCTCTCACAACAACTCGAGGTGTAGTAACGTTGTTCTCTGTTTCTCGTCCAGATTTGTCGTCCGAGAATTCACCTACAATGAGGAAGAGTTGACCGCTGGCAAGAACGAACTATCTAAGCTGATCAACGACAAGAAGCGGCATTTTGTAAGTCACACTATGGCACTATGCCCCAAGACACTCTAGGCTACTGTACCCTTGTTTTTTCTTTCTTTCGTGTAATTTTCCTGCGAGAATTTACTCCTGTTTTTTTTGGCCGTGATTTTCCTGCCATTTTGTATTATCATCTTCACTTTGCTATGTATCTCATTCTTTTTCTACTCTATTCTTTTAAGGTGTCTATACTCCCTTGCTAGAGTGAAAGGAGAGGAAGGAAACATTGATAAATAAAGACTAATGATAAATGAATAGATAAATAAGAAATAATGATAAGAATTAACATTACCTTGGCATATAGACATTGTTGATTAATTTATTGTGAAACTGATAAAGATGGCACTGACTAATATGACTACTTTATTGTCTTGAGTAATCACAGACATTGTTTTTATTTGGGCCGAGGCTAGTTGTACGTGTTTTTATTTGGGCCGAGGCTAGTTGTACGTGTTTTTATTTGGGCCGAGGCTAGTTGTATGTGTTTTTATTTGGGCCGAGGCTAGTTGTATGTGTTTTTATTTGGGCCGAGGCTAGTTGTATGTGTTTTTATTTGGGCCGAGGCTAGTTGTATGGACAGATCTTGGCACGTGGTGTGTCGCATTGGCCGAGGATTGAATAATTCTCGGAAAACCTGACCTAGCCTTGAGAGAGCCAACGTCACGAGGGCTATTTCTCGGCCCTCACAAGAGCCAACGTCATGAGACTTGCAGATAAGTTTAGCCGCAGCGTTTTGTTTAATAGTGTTACATTTGTCTTACAGGGTCCTCTGGTACGCTGGTTAAAAGTCAACTTCAGTGAGTGCTTCATCTGCTGGATACACGTGAAGGCCATACGAGTCTTTGTAGAGTCTGTCCTCAGGTGAGCATTAGGCACGTTTGTTTCTCCCTCGGTAACGAAAGTTTTGTAGCGTTCTCATTACTGAAAGATTCATCCTCACAACTTACCTAACCTGCTGGTGATGATAATGATTGATGATGATGATAATTGATGATGACACACTATTTTTCTCAGATATGGGTTGCCAGTAAACTTCCAGGCAATACTCGTTCACCCACACAAAAAGAGCATGAAGAGGCTGCGGGACACACTGAACCAGCTGTATGCCCACCTAGACTCTTCTGCAACAGGGGGAGCAGGAGATGTAAGTGCTGTACTGTACTCCTGTTATATAGGTGTTAAGTCATGCATTAAACCCCCACCAAAGAGGATTAAGTTAACTTCAACCCCCCACTAAAAAGGATTAAGTTACCTTGAACCCCCACTAAAGAGGATTAAGTTACCTTGAACACCCACTAAAGAGGATTAAGTTACCTTGAACCCCCCACTAAAGAGGATTAAGTTACCTTGAACCCCCACTAAAGAGGATTAAGTTACCTTGAACCCCCCCCAAAGAGGATTAAGTTACCTTGAACCCTAACCAAAGAGGATTAAGTTACCTTGAACCCCCCCCAAAGAGGATTAAGTTACCTTGAACCCCTACTAAAGAGAATTAAGTTACCCTGAACCCACCCCAAAGAGAATTAAGTTACTTTGAATCCACACCAAAGAGGATTAAGTTACCTTTGAACTCCAACTAAAGAGGATTGTTAACTTCAACCCCCAATTAGAGTTAAGTTACTTGAACCCCCCCCAAAGAGGATTAAGTTACCTTGAACCCTAACCAAAGAGGATTAAGTTACCTTGAACCCCCCCCAAAGAGGATTAAGTTACCTTGAACCCCTACTAAAGAGAATTAAGTTACCCTGAACCCACCCCAAAGAGAATTAAGTTACTTTGAATCCACACCAAAGAGGATTAAGTTACCTCACACATTTTCTCCCTTTTTCAGACTGTGGACATCCCAGGGCTGGGCTTCAACACTAGTGAATATTACCCTTATGTCTACTTCAAGATTAACACGGACATGATTGGTGATCACAGGCCTTAAGGAACCACCATTAGCCTCTGCTGTTGTTGAATTGCCAAAATTGTGGGAGTCTTGAAAAGATGTTATTTAAAATTTATGGTGTGGACTAGATGCTAATTTTTTAACTTGAAGTTTTTAAGAATATTTACAGATGCAGAGAATAAAAGAAAAAAAATCATATAAATTTAAATGATGTAGATTGAAAGAAAAATTATTGGCTCATATTTTATTTCTTCTAGTGGTGCACAAAGCCGATGACTTCATTCCTCATTTACCGTAGGTGTACAAGTTGTGAAAGATTCCCTGTTTAGAGACAGTTGTTTTATTTATTGGTACTGTGGTCAGAAGAATGTAATATATTTCCTTTGTACATTATAATGATTTAATCTAGTGGTCAGAATACCTAATGTACCTTTGGGTTTGAGGCGACATTCCCCCCCCCTTTTCATTCCAGCGTTTATAAGACGGTGATAATAATTGTTACTTGTACATTAGTTTCTTAGTGAGATGTGTTCAGCCCACATCCTGACACCTTTACCAATACATACTCAATTTTTGATGTGCATTTGACTCGGAGAATGAGATATTTATATATTTTCTATCCTATCCGGAACAAATTTATTTTACACTTTGCTATTATTATTACTGTTTCATCTATCTTGCCTTAAGTTATTTATTGATGTAATTATTTTTTAAAGTCCAGTGAAGCAACAACATTTCAAGGTAGCTTCATTGATTGACCAGTAGATATCTAGTTCTTGTTGATGTCACTTCTCAAGATGTGTATAATAACACTGTTGGACGAGCCTAATGTTGATCCCCCCCCCTTCCTAATGACCACAATGCATACTTGAAAATTGGGTTGATATAAGATAGAACTCTCTGAATAGTGTATGGTGTAAAGCTAGATTATTGTCTGTGTGTATATTTTATGTAAATTAACAAAAACTCGTGGTGTAATAAATATTTCCTGTTGGGTGGTTGACTGATGTACAGATTGGTATATACAGTATACTTTACATGTGAATAAAGAGTACATAATATAGTCTCTTATAACTAACCATTAACCCTTGGAGGATGATAAAAAATATAGTTATAACCTACCATTAATCCTTGGAGGAAGATGGCTTAACCAATGAGAATGAGTAAAATTTCCTCCTTGATAAAGTAACAAGACAATGAAAGTTGTATTGAAGAACAGACCAAATGGTGAGCTGACAGGTGGTGATGAAATTAAAAGTTGGCCACAATTGACCATGGAAGTGAGTAGAAGTAGTGTGTGTGTGTGTGTAGCTTGTGATCATTATAATATAGGAATGAAGATGAACAAAAACACGATAAAATTAATTGAAACTTCTACTAATTCTCAATCACTAAGTTAGAGGAGGAGGAAGTAACATGAAAGTGATGTGTTTAAAAGAGAAAATTATGTAAAAAATAAAGTACAGATAAATATTGTGGAAGTGAAATGGGTGTCATGGAAGGAACCACTGAAATAATGGTAAAATGAGTTGAGACAATGGTAAGCTTTTATGGTGAAAATGAAAGGAAGATTTGGTAAGTGAATATTTGAGAATTTTGTTTGAGAAGGAAGATATTAGTAGCCTACAGAATATAGTAATGTTACTTTGATGGAGAAGTAGATAATTATTATAAATGAAATAGCAGCTTCGGAGTCAAAATTTACAGTTGGTTACCAATACAATTTCAATTGTTTATTCCTTGATAGAGGAAGCGGGATCCTAGTGCTGTCACTAGATACCCCTGTACAATGACACCAGAAGCATCTGGCAAGTGTGACACGTATATACAGTATAAATATATACTTGTCTTGCGGTGCCAGGATACCTAAAATGAAAGTTAATTTTCTCGGTTGCAGGAGTTCAAAGTGGGTGGAGGAAGTTTAGGAAGTTCTTAGTTTTATTGACAGCAAGAAGACCTTTCCTCCATGTGAAGGAAAGATGTATACTGTCGTGAGAAGTATGATGGTGTATGGCGTTGAAACCTGGGCAGTTCAGAGGAGGACTTGACGGATTGAGTCTGCTGAAATAAGAATGGTGAAGTGGATGTATAATGTGGCACTAAAAGATAGGAAACCCTGTTCAGGACTAAGAGGGTAGCTGGGTATTGAGAGTTTTGGGAAGTTTCACTTAGAGGCAGGCGGAGATGGTAACTTTGTAGAGAGATAATGGAGGAAACCAATTGGGGTGAGAGATGCAGGAGTAATTGTGGAGGGGAGGAGAACCACAGGTAGGCCAAAAATGACACGAGAAAGAAATAACCAAGAGTTTAGAACCTGATGAGAGACTGCAAGAGACCTGCTGTTAGGTTACCACTCATAACCACTGCAACTATGGAAATAATACACGGGTACCAGAAGTAGACTAAGAGGCTTTAAAAATGTGGTACTACAGGAGATATTTTAAGAGTTACACTGATATAAGTGGTGTAGTGGCTGAATGTAAACAGTATTGATTTTGCTGATGGTCACAAGATTGAGTTTTGGGCACCCCAGTACACCAAGTTGTGAATGGGTACCTAACTTGACACTTGAGGATATGAAGGTAGTCAAGTACTGTACGGTCTTGGCTACACTGCATCATCCTGTACCAAAGGGTTAATATTGTTTTTCCATGGTAACTACTCATTTTTTTATATTGGTTGAAAAAAAGCTTGAAGAAGTACTAAGGTTAAATGGAACAAGAGAAACGCTGGAAATTACCGTGTTTGAAGTTCAGATATTAATGGGTAAAATAGAGAGTAGGAAGGCCATGGGAAGAATGGGTTAGGATGGACGAATCAAATTGAACGTCGGGATCCTCAGAATGCAAAAAATCTGGAAGGAATAGTAAAACAATTAGCACACTAAAGCCGAAGAAACAGAGTAACTTAGCTTTTATCACAGTAGCCTATATAATTAAGCACAATGAACTCTGGTGGTCCGGTAATTACGGGCTGCCTCAACCACTGCTGAAGACTGTACTGTAGGCATGCGGCAGAGAGTTGAGGTGGACAACAGACATCTCGCACAGGTACTCCACCTTCGACTCACCCCATACAGACGCCTTGCCTCTAAAGCCCCGTCCACACGATCGAGCAGTGCCCGGCGGGCTTTGCCCGTTTATCAGGCAAAGCCTGTGTGTTGTTGTACACACGGGGGTGGCTGGCGGCAGTCATAGTTGGGTGCCGGTAGCTGGTACGTGGTCAGCAGTGGCGGGTGTGGTACGATCACCATGGTGTGTCGCAGGAATAATCACCGGACAGTTAAAGCGAAGAGCATAGCGTTGTGTACTATAATAATTGCAGCTATGTGCAAAAAGAAGAACCAAATGCAGAAAAGGGAATGGTGCAAAGAGTGGTTAGGTCGAATTAAAGTATTTGGAAGTCATGCCACGATTTTACGAGAACTGCAGGATGGAGATGAGCAAGACTTCACCAATTAACTGTACAAGAGAATGGACCCACCACTCTGTGTCTCCCCTTCCCAGAGTCCATTAAGTTTTTTGCCTCCTGCCATAACACAGCTTCATGTTCTCTCTCCCTTTTAGTTAAGTCATTGGCTATTCTTATGTCTTGGAATTTCATGTTACCTTGCAGGTTCCTGATGTTTCTAAATAGGTTGGTCTTTATATCTGCAGTAGATAACTTGACTAGCATAGGTCTAGCTTTTCTCTGGATAAATTTACCCAGCCTAATCACTTTAACTATTATCTCCTGGCCACTAGTGATGCCACATTCTTTTATTAGGTTCAGTGCATAAGATTTATCACTCTCAATCCTTTCGCTCATTGTTGGGGATCCAGATTCTGGCACACCATATACCACTATGTTGTTTTCTCTCTTCTTTCTCTCATTTAGTTCCTTTGTAAGTTCACCAACAGGCTCTGGTTTCCCTGTGTTGTCTTCCTGCTTCACTTCAGTGGCACTACGGCCCAAATGCAAGATCAGCCGTGGTGTATACCATGCCATGGTATCCCGGCGGTAGTAATACAATGGAGTGAAAATTTTGTGATTATTCAAAATGGGCCATGGTGGTACCCGACTGTCGTTTGTTGTTACTACGTCATCGTAGTGTAGTCGGGTGTACCAACTGCCAGAAGTCTTGGGGGTTGGTATGCTTGCACCCTGAAAAACGTTGTCAGTGGCACGAAACGTTTACTCTTGCTACACGATTTACGAGCATAAAAAACTTGAATCCCAAGCTAAGGTGGACCTCATTTTCCTATTTTCTTGGATTATAAGCCAATTCTGGGAATAAAATACGATTATTTACAGTGAATATACAGTAGGTAAATAAAGCCTGTGACAACCATAAAAATGTAGGAATTGAGTGTAATATCTGTTCCTTCTTTATATTAAAAGCAGGATATGCTATAATATATGGATGATCAAGAGTAAAGTATTTTAAAAGAAAAATCATCCACAAATAAAATAATACGCAATATCCACGTATGTATGCAGAATATAAAAAAAATACTAATAATTAAGGCATACAGTACGTTATGATTTCTCCAAGGTATATGTTCAGAAAATTCCAGAAACTGCATTTTTTCTAGTCTATGAGTAATTTGGGGATTTTACGGAAAGTCTCCAAATTTTTCTGTTCGGAGTCTGGGAACCAGTTCCGAGGTTAGGTTAGAAAGCAAATTCCAAAATCTTTCCTGGAACCGGAAAAATTCCCCATCAATCAAATGATACCAAGATTTATTTCTTCAGTATTGGTGAAAGGTGAATAGTCAGCTGTATCGCTACCTGTAAGTGAAAATAAAGTCATTAATATTGTGGTAGTTAAATTTGCAAATTCTGAAACATCTATATTTATGAGGGTTAATATTTATAAGTTTCCAACATCTAAATATTGAGGGTAATTTTGTCTGTTCAAAAAAAAATAAATATAAAAAATTCCAAAGGAAACTCAGATTTGTTTGGTTTGATATGCAACACAAACTAACAAAATTATTGTTTTTTCTCATGTACTGTAGTGTATAGTGTTATGGTGATTCCAAAACTTTGATCCCTTTTTTTGGAGAAATTCATAGAACAAAAATTATAAGCCCTTTAAAATTTTAATGATCTATATAAAAATGTTAAACTAACTTAACTTAACTGGAAACTGACTTAACTATTATAAAATAAAGTATACTGTCTTTCATATTTTAAAGGTTGGATTAAGGACAAATTCACTTAGGTTAATTTCTGGTTACAGTTAATTAGTCAAGTCTGACATATTTCTGCTGTCAACATTAGAATGTACGTATATCACATCTATTGAAGATTCCTAATTTCATTATCTTTGAATATCCAAGAATTGTAACATAAAAACAATTAACGGTAAAGGCAATCATACCTGTGATTACTTTCTACAATTATTGCATCTAGCTATAATTGAGTGGAGCATCAACGTGAGTTAGGTAAGATACAAGGAGTTTAAAGATGAAAATGTATTACGGTCTCTCCTCGACTTACGACGGTGTTCCGTCCCGACGACGAGGTCGTAATACCTGAAATATTGTTATTAAATATTATCATCAATGACGTCTTTTGGTATTAAACAATACAATTTGGTGCTAATTGGCATTTGAAAAAACATAATTTCAATGTCACCAAACCTAACCTAACCCAACTTAACTAATCTTACGTAACCTAACTTAACTGGTAAAAATCAGTCAACTTAAAATCATTAAATTCGCTGGATGGCCAAAAAGATAATATATCATCAATTCCATTTACTTTAGAAGGACTTATTCATTTTTGTTGAAATCATGGACATACTGTCAATGGCAAAGTTAATTAATATCACCACTCCAACTGTTGGCCCAAACAAGTCGTAAAGTAGTTCTTTCTTGTAATACATTGAGTCACTAAGGGAATAAAAAAATAAAATATGAATTTAGATCACTGAATTTATCTTATTAGTAGCAAATTGTGGTTAAACTGATACACTAATGAAACATGCCTGGGAAGTACCTAGCACTAGTTACCTGGCATATTTGGACTTATTAGTGTGAAATTTATGCTACAAAGTATTTATACTAAGGAAATA